TGCCTATACATTTTTACAGTTGAAAGTGATCAACAGTAGTATTTCTGCAGATGAAAAGACAATGCATAATTTTTGATATGGAGACCAGAAGAAAGATCACAAAAGGATGTCTAATCAAAATATCCAGTAAGCTTACTGAGAACAAACTGATTTCCCCTGAAAGTACATCAAGTCAAACTTACCTGATCTACCATCCAGAGGTCCAAAATCCAAAGAATATTTCACGACGTGATAGTTATTCCATACGTAAAGAAGGTTGTCCCTGGGGTTGTAATCCACAGCTGCTATGTACTGGTATGAATTGGGAAAGGGTACATCCACCAAACTATCCTTACTTTGGTCGGTGTTGTATATGTAGTCAATCTTATTTCCCGTAGCCTCATTGTCATCATCCTCATATACAGATTTGACCACATACAGAATTCCACAAATCATAAATGCGTTGGAAGCTGACCTTTTATCATATGCAGTATCCCATGTCCCTTCAATCCGTAGGGTGTAAGGGTTCAACTGACTAATGACAATTTTACCATTGTTTTGTTCTGTTGCATAGATTACCCATAGCCCATTCTCATCCACTGCCAGGTCTATGTCAGATTTGCCTCCCCAACGGTAAGGGGAGGTATCATGGTAGTTGGCATTTGCTATGATAGCCTCTCCACTCTTTATCCTAGTCCGTAAATCAAACTTTACTATGTTCCTGGTGCGCTCTTTATTGAAGAACAGAGCTCCATCATACACTACAAATCCTGTGCCATCCACCCTGTGAGGGAGCTTGTAGGTTGTAGTTGGCCTTCCAGCAATGAAGTCATCCTTGGATGAGTATTCGGTCAGTGTATCAGTTCTGTAGGGGGTCCAGGGCATATAATAAATCTTGTCAGAAGCCTGAAGAGGGTCTTTGCACCATGCCCCAGACTGGTGGTCGGACTCAAACAAATGTTCACTCTGGTATACTCCTTTTAGTAGTCCAGGGCAAAGAAAAACTGTCAGAAGGGAAAGAGTTAAAATAATAAATATATTAATATTTTGTCATATATTCTTATTTTTCACCAGCTAGAATGCAAATCTAACAAGGAATATCCACAACCACTTAGTTATTTTCCTTCATTCTTCTGAGAACAGTCTTCCACATTGACATTTGTTCAGAATCATTTTGCTCTCATTTGCTGAAAAAATCTGATCTTTTTATGAGTAGCTGTGCTTTCTTTTGATTCTTTACCTTTGGTTACAATGTTTTTGGATATACTATGTATATAGATGTGACATGTCTATGCATTCTACAGACATATAACAAATATAAATTTTTATATGTGATGGTTTTATATACTTTATTTGGAAATTTTAAAAATATTGTTTTCACTCTGGTGCTATTAACTGTTCTATACTTATTAAGAAACAAATGAAAATCTAATACAAATTCAAATATATAATAAGGGAAAAGAAAAAGCCCTGTAAATCAGGCCACTGAATCTTCTAGGAAAAAAAAAATAAAGCTCTTAAAGCTGCTATAGCACACACAGAGCATGCAACCCACACAATTAAAAATGAGTGATGGATGGATACTGGAAGGAAAAAGAGAAAGGAAGAAAAGGAAAGGAAAGAAGGAATAAGGAAAGAAGAAAAGGTGAAAGGTTACAGAGAAGAACCCAAGATCTAGATTTTAATCAGTTAAAAATGTCCTGTTAAATACAGTAGTATTGGAACTTAAAAACATGTACCTTTTACTGTTACATGAGAAGAACATTAAAAAACAAGATTACTTGCTACAATATTTTGCTGCTCATACTTCAGGCTGAAAATGGGCAGGAATTATCTGATTCACTCAAGTTTTAGTATGATTCAGTAGCACATCATGGGAGTGGTGGTAAGAAAGCTTGGCTGATTCATCTGTAATGAAGGGGCTATAAAGCAATGTTTCCCACAGGGAGGTTCTTGAAGCACCTGTTGTAAGTGGCATAGCTATGTGTCACACAGAAAAAAACAGAGATCCCTAGCCACAAGTGTTTAAGAAATATCATATTACACATAATTGTGGCAGAGATTCAAATATCTTAGGTACATTAGTGAATCTCCAAGGTAGAAGTGGAAGGGTGAGCAAATTACACAAATGAATTTGATCCTGGAACCCTTTCTACAGAGCCTGTCTGCAGTGTAGTGTTCTGCTGAACCTGCTATGGGAAACACTGCTCTAATCCTTTTGCAGAGCACACACACTGAAAGATAATCACGCAGTCCACTGTTATGTTTTAAATTATTAGAAGTGTATTGGGAGGAGAAATTAGGAAATCACAAGAAATGTGGATGTTGACCCGTATTTTAATGATTATATTATTATTCTCTTGATATTAGTGCTTAACTCTTTAACAGCAATTATAAGCCTACATCCAGTGGAAAACAATCTAAGATGAAACTCAGCTAGGATTTTCAGGTTATTAAAAAGGAAAATACATTGTTAAAATGCCCCAAGTTTTACTTTAGGAAAATGAAAAGTTTAGGGGAAAACCTGACTATCAAAATCTTCCATAGCAAGGATATAGGGCCATCATCAATTTTTACTCAATAATAAAATTGATTATTAGAATAATTTCTCAGGATTCGAATATAATGTCTATAATTATAAAGAATGGGTAAGTATTATCATCAAAACAGTATATAAACGTTTTGTTGGTTAATAGTCAGCCTTTGATTACTAAAGCAATTTATTTTAAGGTATTTCAGAAAACCATTTCCCCTTTCTCCCCAGTAGTTAAAAATTAAAGGAACAGGGGAACCACACCAAAACAATGGAAAACTATCGAGTATGGAAATAAAAACAAATCTAAAGCAGTCACTATCCATCACCACCTACTGGATTTCTAATTACTTAAAAACAAAGACGAATAAAATGCATGGTTGAAAATTTTACACTATTAAACTGTTTTAGGATTAAAAAATTCAAACCAGCACTGGTCAGTACAACAGATTAAAGTGAAGTTGAGCAGCAGAAGTAGTAAATAAATTTTCATAAAATAGATAGGAATTAATAACAAAATTATTTTAACTAAATGTTAAACTGTTAAATAACTTAGCCTATAAATAGTATATAATTTATGAAAGGTATTTAATTACCTTTTTGTTCCACTTCTATTGGAGAGAGAGAAGTAAAGAGAGAAAGGAGAAAAGAGAATAGATTAATGGTACGATATTGGCCAAGCACTTTTATTCACCTCTTCCAAACTGAAAGTAAATAATTTATTTCACTCATACTTGCTTTATTGAACATTATGTTTTTAAAAACCTTATTCCTCTACAAAATTATTTTTTAAAAACCTCATTTCTCTATGAAATTATTTTTAAGAAGTAATCACATTATATGCTTAAAAATACAGTACAAACTTGGAAAAACAAGGCAAAAGTTAATCAAGTCAAGATTGAATACCATTCCAAACTATAAACATAGGAAACACAATATTCATAATAAGAACATCAGTATTTTCGATTTGAAAAGACAGGTTGGTACTTATACACAGAAAGCTTTCAAATAGTTTGGATAGTTTCATTTATTAAATATTGTAGTTTATACCGCTATTTAATATAATAGTCTGGCTTTTTATCCAACTCAAGATTGACCTCTTCAGAAGAAACTGCTCTGAAACTAATTTCCTAAGGTCTAAGATTTTCTATAGCTTGTCAGTCTTATGAGAAACGCACCTCATGAGGTGGCACGTTAACAGGGAATGCTCTCAACCTGAATAAATGGGTTTAGAATCCTTATTGAAGAAACTCCTTTTCCTCCCACTCATCAGTATTTTATATAATTGTGGAAAAATACTCTTTCAGAAAAATCTGTATCTGAAAGTTGATATAAATAATAAGCCACCTGCCCTGGCGTTTTCTGAAATTCTTAACTGAGTCTTTCAGCAAACTCTTATAAGAATACATTGAAATTCTCAAAACCGTTATGGTTATGTATGTCTCAAGTTAATTTCATTTTTTTTTAAGGTACTGATCAATACATATCAGGGAAATTCTTGGAAACTGTAACATGCTCATGAAACTCATCAAGCAGGCTCTTCTTTTTCTTATAAACATTTATCTCATTAGAGACAATTTGCCTAGATCACAAGATAAAAGGGATCATTAGGGGGAAAAAAAGGGCAGAAAAGTCAGGGAAGAATGGGTTCATAACACAAACTTAAAAAATCACAGATTGCAAGTGATATAAATCTAAGATAATTTCAATGGAAGGGATAAGTTGAGGTACTACATGTACAGTAAGTAATATAATGTCATTTGGGATAATTACATTTGGGTGAGATTTTTGTGCTTTAAGCCCATGTCTTCAATTATTGTCAATATCACACTCATTTGTCTTCACTGACTTCTGAAAGCTCAAAAAAGACAAAACTGGTATATATAAACAGTTATGCTTAGGATGTTGCAAGTGGGGTTATCCCTTTTAGATTGTTTATCTCATTAATTTACAACTCTTATTTTTAACAGTGTTTCTAGGACTGTTTTAAAAACTCTATATACTCTTACACTTACAATTTACCATCATCCTCAATTAATCTTTATGAAGTAACTGCAGTTATCACTGGCTGTATGACGCATTATAGGTCATTGAAAAGCTTTACCTAAGAGATGTACTTCATGCTATGACTAGAATACTAACAAGCCTGAGTTCAGACTGACAACTAGAAGAAGCATAACTAAGGACTTTTAAAAAATTACTTAACCATTAGTCTCAAAAGTTTGGACTGGAAGCCCATTTTACAATGAAGATGGAGGTTGGGAGTGGGATATTATATAAAAGTTAGTATTTTTCAAGGACTAACCTACAAAGGAATTTCTATAACTAACTCCATTCCTTGAAATTGCTCAAATATATATCCTTTTAGTTAAACATGAAGGTATTTCTATTCTACAACATAAAGTGTACCCACACAACTTTAGTCTTGTTCTACATAAAATTCTTCATCTAACTCTTAAGCGCAATTGTCTCAACTTCTTGGTGACTAGTATTTCTCTCTTCAACAAATACTTAATAAGGAAGATGTTATATGCAGTAAAAAGTATTGATAAGGCACTTACGATATGAACATTTTTATTTTTCAAAGATATTTTACCTCTGTTTTCCCAAAAGTCATTAGGTAAAATTTTACATTTAACTCTCTGGTCCTGGTCTAATTTAAGAGAAATTGGCATAAACTAGCATGAGGAAAGAATGTCTCTGCTTTGTTACTGCCATTGACTCAAAATTAAGATTTATTAGGTAGTTCTACTACTAGAGAAAATTATTACGGTCTTGCCTATGTCATGACTGGCTGTAGCTCATTCATCATTTATTCGCTATTTTCAAGACTGAAGTAAAACAATCCTGTAATTTAAGTTGAAAGAAGCACACACAAATTATATTCCCATAACAAAAACTGGCAAGGCAAACATAACTTGTCACTGATAAGCTTAGTAACATTCCGAATTAGCCAGTCACTGTCCATCATCTAATTCTAATTCTAGAAGCCTCCCTCACCTGAAAAAAAAAAATACAAATAAGGAAACAAATTGTATGGATGTAAGAAAACATGCTTACCCTTGTATCCTTCACAACCTCATGGTGCCTGGCACATAATACTCAATGAACAACTATTAAATTAATACATAATCCAAATAAAGGTGATTAATTCTGCTTCTAGATAATTTAAACATGTGGTAAAAAGAAAAAAAAGTGGCAAAAGAGAATCTGGATTTGTTATCCAGTATCATACGTGCAATGTATTATCTGCATAATGTCTGAATATTTTAAGGGATGAGAGGAAAGTAAAAATTATAAGCAGTTTGTACCTCCAACTCATTAAATGTAAAACTGGAGGAAAAAAGGAAAAGAAGAAAAAATATATGAATGGTCTTGAGGGGTATATTGGGAAGAAAAATTTTTTGCTATAAAACAATCTGTGACAATCTAAAAACATAGGCCAAAAATACTCCCTTCTCTCATCTCTGTAATGAGATCATAAATAAATGAATTGTATGATGCCAACTCTGCAAGGGCTTCCTCAGCGACTCCTGTCTTTCAGTCTGGTCCAATATCCTGAACTCTGACATTATAGCTCTCATTGTTCATTTCCAAACTTCTCTGGAACTAGTTTCTCTCCTTTTCTCTATTCACTTTTAATCCCCAAACTACTTTTATTGTCCATTCAACCTCCATAAATATGTTTATGTATTTCCTTAAAGTGATTTCTTTGTTGTCCTTTGTCAAACTTAAAGTCATAAGCTATATCCTGTGGTCAGAGTAAATGACAAATTCAAATGAAGGGTAACTGATTCTGTATAAAAGGAAGAAATAGGAAAAAAAAAAAAGACTAGTAAATTTTCCTTTCATTCCCCAACAGTTTATAAAATAGACATAATATACTGTTATGTTATTGTTTAGAAAAATAAGATATTAGTTCTATCCATATCCATACCATACGTAACACTTTTAAATTGTGTTCTTTAATTAGAAAAGGTATGGATGAGAGAGCATATGCATGCATTGCCAAGCTTTTCAAATTGCACTGCAAATTACAGAGAAATAAAATTGTTGCCTGCCAAAAATTGTTAGAACTAAATTGCCATAACTAAGAACTATGAAATTGTATCTAATTCTAATGTAGCTTAAATTTTCTTTTCTTTTAAACTGCAAATCATACATTTTCTATCTACAATTTAAATGTTCTAAGTGAGTAGAATGTTATAATCCAATAATGCCTGTATATTTCTGTAATATATAAATAAAAAGACACTTATGGGGAGCATAAGATAGTTATAAAATATTAAATAACTTATAATCAATACTTTTATCATTGAAATGTAGTAGTACTTTAAAGATAATTATTCTCTTGGTTACATTTGGCTTAGACTATAAAAATACATTTGGGTATACTTGTCACAGGCCAGCTGGGCAGTTAAGGAGCTGGTAGTAAGGCAAATAAGTAAGTAATATAAAAAAATCAGTCTTAGCTGAAAATTTGCTAGTGTATTATCTACATAGAAAATTATCTAGAAGTGGATAACCAAAAGTTCACAATAATACTTTCTATTTGTATAGTACTTTCAAACTTAACAAAATGTTTTCACATGAAATCACTTGATATAATTCTTCAAACAACACTGTGATATGGTGCAAGTTATTGCCATATCAAAGATGAGTCAATTGAAACTCAAAAGGTTGAAGGATTTGACCAGCGTCAACACAGGCAGGTGGCAGAGTCCTGTCATTTGTGTAATATCATACACTGGTTCTCACAACATGTAAACTCAAACACAGTTTGTTGCGCCTCTTGCTCTCCATTTCTGTTCTGTCACCAGATCCAAGTAGGAGTGCACTTTAGAGGAGATCAACAGCATAAATGGAATCTTCCTGAGGGAGGGCACTGTGTCTGTTACAAAAATTAACATTAATTAAGCATGCACCATGTGCCACATATTGCACTAAAGTTTTGTATACAATACTAATTTCATCATCGCAAGCAACCTTATGAGGCAGATGTTCTCATTATCTCAACTTTTTTGTTTAATAAGTGGTAGAGCTCAAATTCAAATCCAAGTTTTGATCTTACTGATGAGTGCATCTTCAGTGCCCAGCACATAAAAAGAAAGAGTTCAATTAATATTTCTTATGCCTCCATGCAATGATGTATTGAACTGTGGTATTTTCAAAGAAAGGGAATGAATGTCATACTTTTCAGGGCTATCAGCCATGAGAATAGCAGTGCAAAGCACCTCTCTAGAGAAGATAAAATAATAGAAAAAAATGGGCTCCTTATTTCTTGGCCAAGGAAACAAGATATTTCTTATCTCCAGAAACAAACCGGTGCTGAATACTTTATGTCCTATTAATTATTATTCTGAGGCAGAGAAAATTCTCTCTTCTCCATTTCACATCTACCAGGAAAATACAGAAGCGCTTCAGTAAATATAAATAAAAAGATCTATGAAGTTCATTAATTTTTTCGTATACTGCACATCAAAAATTCTGACAGACATCTGTCTTGCTCAGTAAATAAAGTGCTAATCTTTTATGTAATGAAAGACAAGAATAATCTCTGCAGCTCAGCTTCTAAGTTGTGTTTTTCAAATGATACCCATGCATCAGTGAA